CTCCCTTTTTTTTTTTTTTTTTTTTTTTACTGTTACTCAAAATCAAGCTCACTATGTTTCTCTTACTCTTCACTCCCCCTTAAAGCTTTTGATGGATTGGGTGATGTGCTCATGCCAGCTATGGCTCCACAGGCAGCAGGGGCCACCTCACCGGTCAAACCCATGGGAGGAGATCTGGACTCAGCTATGGCCAACATGGCCAGCAGTACGTTCCCATCCACTTTTCACTTGGTGTACTCCAAAATTATACAGTCTTAACATTAAAGTTTCCTTATTGGCATCAATGGTTCCATGAAGAACCTTTAAAAGGTTCTTTACAGTGGAAAAAGACTCTTTAGATTATTTAAAATGTTCTTCACACTAAGACAAATAATGGTTCTCTTAAAAACTGTTAACGGAAAGGTTCTTTGAGATACCCAAAATGGTACTAAAATGGTTCCAATCCTTTTAGAACCTTTATTTTAAAGAGTATAGCCAAACAGAATGAAGTTACAGCACTTTGAAATTTTAGGGTTCTTTACTGGAATCTGTGGTTCCATGAAGAACCTTTAACATCCATGGAATCTTTCAATTCCACAAAATGTTCTCTATAGTGGAAAAGGTTCTTTAGATTATTAAAGTGTTTTTCACACTAAGAAAAAATGGTTCTTTTTAGAACTGTTGAATAAAAGGTTCTTTGGGGAATAAAAAATTGTTCTTCATGACATCACAGCAAAATGTAAAATTATATATTTCTGTGTCTGTGCTTGCAGATTTGGCAGTGGGGAACCAGAAACCGTAAGCTACAGTAACTTCCTTCTCTCTATTTCACCATATTTTCTTGCCCTCTTCAAATAAATATTTTTGTACCTGTTCCTTTTCTATTTCTGTCTCTCTCTTCCTCTCAGGGGTGAAGCAGCTGGAGGGGCGAACTGGCAAGCGCAGGTACCCACCCCTAGCTGGGGCGTTGCCTTGGTAAATGTTGTGTTCTGTAGATGTGGAGCATGGGGGTGGAGTCGCATGGCTTTGAGCAGCATGGCGTGGAGCCAATCACAAGCTTCCTCTTCTCCCCGCCTCTCTCTGGGCTCCTATCAGTTGAATGAACAGGACTAAACTTTCGAGGCGGAACTTTCTAATATATGAAACTTAGGGTTGAAATATTGAAAAATCAACTGTCCCTGAATGTTAGATAATTACATATTTTAAAAGGATGTTTCAAACTTTGAATTCATAATCCTAATCTTACTTTCACTTGCATTTGTGTGCATTGTGAACAAAGCCAAAGAGTAGCCTCAAGTCAAGTCAAATTGACTTGAATATCACTTATCAAAATTACAGAGCCCCACACATTACTTGTGGGGGAAAAAAAACACTGTGTCCACAAATTAAGAATTAGTTCCCACAACTTATTAAATTGTGGCTACGTTGAATGAATGAATGAATTCACTCATTTTAATTACTTCAAATGAGAGAATGAATTAGTGCAATGTGGCCACGATTTACTAAAAGGAGAGAACAAATTCATAAACTGATGAAACAAATTCTTAATTTGTGGCCACAATAAATGTATTTTTGTCTGCACATTTGCTATATATTTTGTTTGCTATATACTATATATGCACATAAAATTGGACGTATCCAAGTTTATATAAAAAGATAATATGATATATTTATTTAATATAAATATATATGTATATAAAGAGAGAGAGAGAGAGGTGTTACATTACAGTTTAAGATTCAGATTTATTCTTGCTTTAGAGCTTCAGACCTGTTTGGCTTGACAGCCGCTTCCTTCTCTATTTCTTTTCTTTTTATACTACTAAACATATATGCATGCACATGCCTCATAAAACATTCAAATTCACACTTACATCAGACTGGTAACCACCATCCCAGGTGTGTGTGCAGGTTCCCTCCTGTGTGTCTGTGTGTCGTAGAGTCATTTTGTTCAGGTGTTGTCCTGTTCTGTGTGGTTTGGTGCTAACCTTTCCCCCCCATCCCTCCCACCCGCTTAGACTTCCCCTCTCGGGGTCTGTCCTGTCATGGGATCCCCGTCACCGTTTGGCATGGTAAGAGTGTGTGTTTTTGTGTACGTGCGTGTGTGCAGGTGTATGTGTCTCTTACTGTGTCTCTGTGTGACTCACAGCCTGGTGCAGGAGCTGCTCCCATGATGCCTGGCTCACCGATGATGGCTGCGCAGCAACCGATGATGAGGCCACAGTTTCCCGCAGCAGGAGCCCCTGGACAACCGGTATTTTAGACATACATGCAGATGAATTTACTGATATAGTCATTTAGACAAGAATGCTTAGTGTGTAAATACACACATACTTAATTATTGCTCCTCAGATGTCTCCAGGAATGGCTCAGAGTCCCAGGAAGCCTCCCCCTCCTAAAGACCCTCTCGCTGACCTCAATATCAAAGACTTCATGTAGATGAGCAGCTGCTGTAAGTGTCACTACAGCTAGAGCAGATGTGCAGTTTGACGACAGGACACACAATGAGCATTTACATGAGGCTGTAACCACCAGGGGAAGACAGTCCAATTAGTATTTAATCAATATACAATATCTGTACAGTCAGTCAAGATTTGGGACTTCTCATACACACCACACAGACACACAGACACACACACACATATATATATATATATATAGTAAAAAATGTGTTTTTTAGAAAAAAAATCCTATTTCAGGCGTTCTACTTAAAAATTTCAATGTGTTACTTACCATTTCTTTCTAATAAGCTGTGCAATGTACTAGCGTGCTTTTTCCAGTGTATAATACTAAAATCTCTTTCTTTTTTCTCTATTGCAGTTGTCATACTTATTGTGCAGCCCTGATGAATCAGACGTGTATATTCTCTCTTTCGTTCATCACATTCAGGGACTCCAGTCCCACCTTTTCTCTCTCTTTCCCTTCCCTGTCTGTTGTTGTAGCACAAACCGTGAACGTGAATAAGTACATGTGTGTATGTGTGTTTGTATTTCAATGTTCTCAGTTACTTCAGATCTATATATATATAAATTTGTTTTTTAAAAAGTACTATGAAACATGAGGAGAATGGCAGATGCATTCTTGAATGTGCGTCTGCAGGTCTCTTAATGATAGATGTGCATTCATTTTTCCTGGCTGGCTTTCTGTGGGAAATCAAATCAAAAGTGTGACGTTTTCTGTGGAAAATGTTTTTTTGCTGTGGTGAATATCACTGGGCCGGTCTGTGTCATCATCAGTCGAGTATTAGTCATCTTTTGACCATGGAATAACTTCTGTGGGAACAATATCAACGTATTACGAGTTAAGATCTCACGCACTGTTTGTTTTTATCAATGCCCTGATTTTATTCTTTTTCGTATCTATCGATTGTGTTATATGCAACATGTGACTATTTGATGAAAATACATATGCATTTTAAAATATTTTAAAAGACAGATTGTTTTGAATATCCTTAGTCTTTATTTTGAGATAAAAAGGCTGAATATATTTTAGTTATGTCAGAAGTTTACTTTGCATACTACATGGCTAGTTAGTAATCCCATTTGTACAAATGTCTCTGTACATCACAAGGCACTGAGCCGATCGAGTCCTGCTAGTATGTACAATATAATATGTAATTCCTCTGTTGTGTAAAGGGGACGCCAGTGAGCCAGATCAGATTCTATCAGAAGCAAGTTCACCTACATCTTAATCAACATATCAGGAATAGTTCAACCAAAAATTACAATTTGCTTAAAATGTACTCACCCTCAGATCATCCAAGATGTAGATGAGTTTGTTTCCTCATCAGAACATATTTGGAGTAATTTAGCATTAAATCACTTTCTCACCTCACCAATGGATCCTCTGCAGTGAATGGGTACCGTCAGAATGAGAGTCCAAACAGCTGATAAAAACATCACAATAATCCACACCACTCCAGTCCATCAGTTAACGTGAAGAAAAAACCTGCGTATTTGTAAGGACCAAATCCATCATTAAGACGGTTTTAACTTCAAAATGTTGCTTTTGGCTAAAATATTAGTCTTCCATCTATAAAATTGCTTTCTCCAGTGAAAGTCGTTTCATCTGAATCAGGAGAGAAATATGCACATATGAATACAACAGGCAGAAACAGTTCTAAACACATATATTGGTGTGTTTTAATGTGAGAGGACAACAGGATGGACCTTTTTACTGGAGGAAGTGTTATTATGGACTATTTTGGCTTTAAGCGACGGTTTAAAGTTAAAACGCCTTAATCATGGATTTTTTTTCTTCTTACGAACATGCAACTTTTAATTTCACAAGAAAAAATTCATGTACTGGAGTGGTGTGTATTATTGTGATATTGTGATGTTTTTTCAGCTGTTTGGACTTTCATTCTGATGGAACCTATTCACTGCAGAGGATCCATTGGTGAGCAAGTGAAGTAATGCTACATTTCTCAAAATCTGTTCAAATGAAGAAACAAACTCATATACATATTTGATGGCCTCAGGGTGAGTGAGCAAATTTTCATTTTTCAATGAAGTATTTCTTTAAAATAGGACTGAATATACCTGGCGGCCTAGTGTTTTGTTGTATTGCAAGTGAGTGTGTTACCAATTCTATTTGCTACAAGTATCAAGGATATCAAAGGGACGAACGGCAGTTTCATGGGACAGTATTGCATTTTATTGATGGCTGTTTTTTATTTCAACTGAACATTTTGTTGATAAATGTTATTTTTGGATGGAATAACACCCTCTGCCCCTCCCACCTTTGTGCATGTTAGTCCTGTTGAAATGCAATAAACAGTGTTCTGGAGAGAAACATCATTTAGTCATTATTGGGTAAAGTGTTTCACAATGAGGATCATATAAACATACATAATCCCAATTCCGTGTCTCTCTCTGATGAACAAGCATCTAATGTCTCTTTGTTACATGGCAAACAAACTATAGAGTTGAGGCAATCCAACACGTTGAGGCCAAGATGAAGACGGTACAATGTATTTTTGGCTAAAATAACACTGACAAATTCACAACCTCTGAACAAACCAGTGTTGCCAAATGATGAACACTGATGGATGGGTATGAATGGATATCAGACTCCCCAAATCTCATTCTCTGACAGTGTTTGGCATGAGAGAAAAATACCTCTTAATATATAAATGTGTAGTAGAAAAGAGCACTGATGGCTAACAGAGCCACAGACAGCATCATGTTCTTCCTGTTCTCTCCTCTCAGCACCTGCAGCTCCTTTTCTGAAGAATAAAATATAAAAGATACGATCAGATAAAACTGCTCTCACAGAAATTTTCTTTATCAAGTAATGCAATGCATCAAGAAATGAGAAATTTGGGTCATAATTTTGCATGCTTCATAACAACTTTAGGAAAATAGAGTATTTTGAGTAAACTAATCCACAAATTCATACACTGGGTATTAAGTGATTATTAAATTCGATGACCAATGCACTTAATTTTCATTGTCCGATTGATGTATTTTTGAACCCCCAACCATTCCATAAAACTGACTGACCATATTTCTGAATTCTTTCATTCAATATGGTCATCTCATCTTCTAGGGCCAGTCTGTAAGTACATAAAAAGACTCGTTTGCTGTGTTTCTGTATTAGGTTATGCGGCAAAATGTTGGCATAATCACCTGTCGTTGTCTGAGAGCTGCTCTTTTCTCTGTCTGAATTCTGCCCTCTCCAGGCTGTTTTTACAGTGTAATTTGCGCTCTTCAGTGCGGTCAATCTAAAAGAGATCAAGCTATGAGCATCATATTTCAGTAGATACACCGATATGACAGCAGACAATTTCATATATGATTTTTCAGAATAGCACAACGACCTTATGATCTGTTTTACTTTTTATTTTTTATATATAATTTAATTTTTCAGTACACTGAAAAGTAACGTTATCAGTTAACTGTTTCATACACATAATATGGCATACAATTTCATATCTATTAAAATGCCAATTACCTCGCTTGCCACACTTATTTTCTCTTTCTTCAAGGTTCTTGATTTACTCATTTTGGAGGGTCTGACCATAGACTGTAAAAAAAAGTCTGACTCTGAGGCTTTTACTTGAGGAGAAATCATGGGAGTAGCAAACACTTCCGTACACGAATCCTTCACTCACTCTCTTGCTTGTCGCGCTCAGCCTATGGTGAGTTCATACTGCCACCTGCTTCTTCTTCTTCGACATTTCATATTGGACACAGCGTCACCAACGCAAATAGGTGCATTACCGCCACCTTCTGCTCCGGAGTGTGAAACAGAAACTGCCACCTGCTGTCAGAGCGGTGACATTTCATATTGGACACAGCGTCATCTAGCCACACGTTCGCTGAATAGTTTTTATTAAAAAAATATTCCAACGTTAATTAGTTTATTAGTTAATGGCAGCACTTATATTACTATCACTACACCATTTGTATTACTATTACTATAAAAAAAATAAAAAAAAAATTACTTTGTTATTTATCAAGCTTATATTTGTACTGTAATACTGAAAGAGATCCTGTCACGTGATTTTCCAGATCAGAATAAATTAAAGACTGTATAACACATACTACAATGTATTTTTTCTTTTGATTTTTGAGGTGAACGATGATCCAGACTTCCAGACTGTGTTTAGTCTCTGTGTATGTGTGTAAATATGCAAAATAAGACAAATTACAATATTTAATAACACCTTATTTTTATATCACATAGACAATAATACAATCTGTTGAATTGTTGTACAATTTTGAAACTATTAAAGAGATACGCAGTCCTGCTACTTTCTAATCAGGGTATATGTAAGTATTCCCACTACTGCCACCAGGGCGGCACCACCAACCAGCAGCACAGGGAGTTCAAAGGGTGCTGCCTTTGGAACAACCTCTTCTGAAGATGACGCTGACACACTAGGTGCATTAATAGACTCTGATTCAGAGGCATGAGGTTCCTCTGAGAGTGTGACTGTGGAGGGTGGGAGATGATCTAAAACCTGTGAGATGATTTCAGGTATGGGAACAGAAGCCAGCGTAAAATCTAAAGGCTCAGACAGAAGGGGAGTGTGAGAGAAAACCGGCTCAGAAGCCACCTCTGCATCAACTTCCTCCACAACTGGCTCCTCCACACACACCAGGAGCTCCACAGTCTGTGGAGGCTTGAGATCTGATTCTGCAGGAAGTGCTCCAATCTCTTCCAGCTCGCTGCCAATCATGATCAGCACGCTGCTCTGAAGCTCCTCCTCCTCATCTGACTCCGCCCTCTGATGGAGCTCCGCCTCTAGGTGGATGATGTCAGAGGTGGAGGAGTGGTTCTCGCTGTGGTCCTCTTGAACTAGGACCATCTCACTGGTCTCTAGACTTCCAACCTCTAGCTCCATGTCGCTAACAGATGCCCAGGACTCGGCTAGACTAGCAGTCTGCCAGGGGCCAGACCCACTGCTGCTCTCCTCCAGGCTTGAGGTTTGATCCTGGGGAGGGTCGGGTCCTGCAAACTGCCTGTCCTCAGACAGGATGGAAGACCCTTTACTCCTCTATGAAAATCTGACTAATCTTTACAGGTTCAGTGAGTCCTAAAAATGAGAGACAGAATTCATTCAGTCATGTAAGTACATTGTGCCACTGATTAATTACATTAATATAAGCATTGTGGGGATGTAAGAATGTATTTTACAGCATACGTTTTGCTAACATAAGCTTTTAAGACATTTAATATAAGAACAAATTCAAAAATATAAAAAACCATTGACAACCCATTTTACTTCAGTGATTTTAAACATTTTTAAATGACAAAATCAACTTACATAAAAATTATATTAATAATGAAACAACAGCAACAATCCAAAAATTAATAAGTTATAATCATCATCATCATCATCATCACAGAAAAAGAGTTTTACGTGAGGTTAAACACTGTGCCCATCAAAGACATAAGATGAGAATTATAGTATATAGTATAATCATATTTTAAATTTAAAAAATGACAGTACATACATTCACACACACATACAAAAACAAATTCAGTCATTCACATTTTTTTCCTCAATACTTATAAAACATTTATGTAAAATGTTAAACTTCTAATATCTTATATCTCTTTGTAAATAAATAACTGTAGCGAAGAAACCAAACCAAATTGAATTAATGAGAAATTAGAAAAAAAAATGTGGGACAGGATTTTGTCCATTAAGTCTTAAATCTGACTTCTGCAACATTTCATTAGTGTATCCAAGACAAATTACAATTACAAACATCCTAATCTATCATATCGTATCATATTGTGATATGTATAGGCCAGTAAGCTCATATCTGACTGGCTATGCAACCTATATATATATCTCCATCTGTTCACATGAACAGAGAATGTCAGACATTTCACATGGCATGACAGGATCGTGGTTCAGTTCACGTAGCACTTACACAAAATGGACATACTGTATCTATACTTACTCTTTTATGATTTAATTTAATTTGTCAGAGAAAAAAAATTCCTAAACTCATACATTTCCTGCTGACTTGGATTCTAAAGATTCATCACTGTCTATAAATACATAAATAAACAAACGAACTAACCACAGTAATTCTATGATCATACAAATTTTAGTGTTCAGACACGTTAATGAAGTACATAACATGAGGGTAACAATTATTGTTTGCACCAGCACCGCTTCAGTCACGTCACAGTGAAAACGTGCAGCGTCAACAGTCAGATTGTGAAGAGATAGTAAACTAAAGCCCATCGGCAAGATCAAAGGTCAAAGTGCTTAAAGGGATCAAATGTGCAAGAAATACATGCTGTGGCTTTTTAACTTTGACCTCTGACAGAGGCAGACTGTAAACCAATGGAAAGAATGAGAAACAGGCAAGAACAACAACACAGGTCAGTTATTCTGTAGAGAGAAGCATATTTTAACCAGCAAGAGAGGAGTATTTAGTTTGTAAAATAATTATAATAACTGAATAGGTCATTCACTAACCAGACAGTTAATATAATGAGACGATCTAATCTAATTATCTTTTCAGCTTGTTAAGAGTGACAGATTCCTCTATATGATATCACTATTGTTATAAAAAAAAACATGCTTATGGCACCTTATAGCACTATGAAAGGGAGTATCATTTGAAATGAAAACAAAATGTGCAAGCTTACATTCTCATATTATCCATACAAGAAATTGAAATGACACATATTTTCATATTTTGAAGACTGGGAAACATTAAATAACCATCTGTTAAAGATGAAAAGAAGAATACACACAGTCTTAAACTCCACATGCCAGACTCAATGAGAGATATTCTGCAAAAGCAGCCATTGAAAACAGATCTTACCTTCTCTGAGTGCAAGGTTTAACTTAGACAGACTGGAGGCTTGAATAAATACAGAGGAGGGTCACTGGAGCAACAGTATGCAGTCCAGCCCCTCCCTGTCCCCTAAAATCCCACCCCTATCCCATTACTTCTGCTAAACTCATGGTGACATGACAAAGCAGTAAAAACTCCCATCGGTCCATTTACCTTTGTTCTGTTCTATATTGAGGGTCATGACACATCGATCTGTCCTACTTTCTGTGACACTGTCCTGTTTGCTTGACATGTGTTTGTTTGACAAAGTTAGTGTCCACCTTGTGATTAAGGTCACTGTTATTTTCTTTCTTATTTTTCCATCATTTAAAAGTTCACAATGATCCTATGTGTACAAATCACTGATCTATAATAGAGAGTCATTATATAGATCAGTGGTACAAATACTGTTTGTGTTCATTTTCCATTTCATCCTAATGAACAGTCAGACGCCATATTGTATTAAACGCTGATGAAAACGAGGCTGTGAGGTACGGACTCACAGTTTTTACAATGGCACTTGCTGTTTTGGTCTACTTAAAAGTTTTTTTGGAACGACATTTACATCATTTACAAGCAACAGTACAATCCATTAAACGCACTGTACTTCAGTTCCTCACACAGCCTCGTTTGCAAAAATGAAATATGGCGCTACCCTGGCATAGATATATGGACTATGGTCTGTGTTTGTTATTCTAACATTTTAAACCACACAGGCAGTTTTAAAAATACCTTTATATTTAATTATTGTTATTAGTAGTAGTAGTAGTATCAATATTATTATCGTCTGTAACCGGTTCAAAATAAGGGCATATCACATAAACCTCAACAAAAAGCCTAGACGCGCACTGAGATCTGATTGGCTCCCAAAGAGGAAACACGCATCATGTGACGCGTGTGTCATCATTGACTGAGAATCAGCTGATCCTTCCAGTCTACTTTCACGACTCTGTCACGGTCGACCCTTCATGTCATTTTTTTGTGCGTTTTTAAACCTGTAGGCTTTTCGCAAATATTTCTAAACTCCATTTGTCACTCGCGACACGAGCTTTTTTCAGTCGGTGGAGTTTAAAATCCTCTTACAGCAGCCGCAGCAGCAGCAGTCATGGCGCTCAGCGATGCCGACGTCCAGAAACAGGTGAAAAGGCGTTCAAATGCATAATTTACTATTTACAACAGCATAACACTATAGCAAGATTAACCACTTGGTGATTAGATGAATTCAGTGTTTTAGACGAGCCTGGCACTAGCATCGTGATATAATCCGATGATGTGGCCTTCAAGGTTGTTCGTCATTTATTCATTAGATACGCGCTTGAATCACGAGATATGTCTGTATAATAATAGTGAATTTATAGTAACGCATTTTAATACGTCCACATGTGCATAAAGGATGAATAAGGAAAAATTCAATTGAGCAGCTCATTCCAAAAACAAATGCATCAAGGTAGTGTGATGAATAATATCAAATATTCACCACAAAATGACCCATTTTAGAATGCAGATGATGCAAAATATTAAGGAGTATGACGTTGTGCATAGTAATAACATAGTAAGCACACAGAAACACTGTCCACATCCTTGTGAAAGAGCCACAACAGGGCAACTCATTGCTACTGGAACTTTAAACAGATTTAAGATGATTTGTCTCAGAGGAAACAATAAACAGCGGTCTAACAATGTATTTTATATAATTTGAAAATAAAGAAAGAAAGAAAGAGATTATACATGTGCATGTATTTTCAAGTTGGTTTAAAAAGATATTGAACGGTTCCTCTTTTGATTCCCATATCTTTCCAGATCAAGCATATGATGGCTTTCATTGAGCAGGAGGCCAATGAAAAAGCAGAGGAGATTGATGCAAAGGTAATTTTTATTTACTTATATTCCACTAAAACATCTAAAGACTAACTCTGATAATGGAAATGGTGTTAAATTTGGAGACTGGCCATTGATAAGAGCTGATATGATGATAAGTGACTCCCCCTGCAGGCAGAGGAGGAGTTCAACATTGAGAAAGGCCGGCTGGTTCAGACTCAGCGTCTGAAGATTATGGAGTATTATGAGAAGAAGGAGAAACAGATCGAACAGCAGAAGAAAATGTGAGTGTGACTTCCTCTGACTGAAACAACCAGACGCCCAAATCATTACTGTGGAAACTCTGTTTCCTCTTAATCTGTTACTCAAACAAGCATTTCATGCAGTAAAACAGTTTCACATTATTTAATTATTTCTGAATGTTCTGATTGTGATTCACTTTGTTATAACTGTCTACAGTCAAATGTCCAACCTAATGAACCAGGCCAGACTGAAGGTCCTGAAGGCCCGTGATGACATGATTTCGGTTAGATCCTGTTCTCTTTTGTGGCACATCTAGCCTTAAAGTAGATATTGGGGTTCTGTTGTCTGTTTACGCTGCAGTTTTAATTCTTCGTTTTTTAGGATTTGCTAAATGATGCACGTCAGCGACTAGCGAATGTAGCTAGAGATCCATCCAGATACGCGGCTCTGATGGACGGACTTGTCCTGCAGGTGAGCGATATATAATTAAACAGTATAGCAAACCAGGTCTATCAAAGACTGTATGTGAGTCTTATCGGGACACACTCTGATATTCTCATGTTTCAGGGTTTTTACCAGCTCCTGGAACCCAAAGTGACCATCCGTTGCCGCAAACAGGATGTGGGCATAGTGCAGGTCTGTAGTTCCCTAAACCTAAAACCATAAAAAAAAACAAAAAAACAATTTTGTTACTTCAAATAATAAATGTTAACTGAATAAAATATATAATAAAGTCAGCTAGTTGCCAAGCCATTTCTCATTTTCATTTAGTTTAGCTTGGTGTATTAAAATAATTAAAGCTGATATAAACATAAACTAAAAAAATTTATAAAACTTTGAAATTAAAATTAAAACAGAAAATTCTAAATTTGAATAAAAACCATAATAGTAAATTAATGATACTAAAATAGCACTGCCTTCAGCAATATAAAATTCTGTAGTGTACTGTATAATGGAAAATTATATAATGCATATATATAATCTAACTTCTTATATAGTTATATATACACTTCTATAGTTTTATATATAGTTAAATAGTTATATAAACATAATCTATAGTTTATAATAAACATATATATATATATATATATATATATACAGTTTAACTTTATGTATTAAAATAACTATAACTGAAATATAATTTAAAAAATTGATATTTAAAAAAAGCACTCTTAAAATGACAAAAACAACGCATTTACTAAAACTTTAGATAAAATTAAAATGAAAACAGAATATTCAGAAATGTATTAAAAACTATAGTAATATCTCAATGATACTAAAATAACACTGGCTGCAGCAAAATGTTGTGTATTACTCTGACAATGATTAATAACCGATTACTTCATGATATAAATCAAGCACAAACATGTGTTTTATTAGGTTGCTGTGCAGAAAAACATTCCCATCTACAAGGCAGCAGTGAAGGACAATCTTGAAGTGCGCAATGACCAGGAGAACGTCCTCTCTCCAGAAGTGTGAGCATCTGCCGTTTCAGTTTCTAGTTTACAAAATTAGTCTGAATATCTTTTTTTTTAATGAAATTGTGGTTTTTAAATATATAAAATGAAAGTCTTTGTGTTTTTTTTGTGTAGCTCTGGTGGTATTGAGCTGTATAATGCTGATGGGAAGATCAAAGTGTCCAACACTCTGGAGAGCAGGCTGGACCTCATAGCACAACAGGTACAGAAATTGGGCTGAGAGGGTTACGATTATGAGAAACAGTGTGAAATGTACAGCAGATTTTTCATTTGCTTTTGATTTCTCTTTTAGATGATGCCTGAAATCCGAGTCGCCCTATTTGGCGCAAACCAAAACCGCAAGTTCATGGACTAATCCTCACTCACACAAAACCACGGCAGAACGCCATTGTTTGATGTTGTACTTTTATTTTTATTCTGATGTTAAAGACTCCATTCCTGTGTCTGTTTGTATTTAAGAAAATATCATGTGTATGTGTGTGTTCTGTATGTGGTGATTCATTATTGCTGTAAAAAGGATCAAAACAGTGTTTCGATTGGCTGCTAGAACTCTGGTCCATAACATCTCATGTGTTTGATTCTGAGTGCAGCTGTAATATAACGCAGTTATGTTTACAGAAACGCCTGAGTGAGCTCAGTCTTAAACTAATGTAGAAATTCCACGATTGTTTGCGAACTCACCCATTTTGTGGCTGTGGAGGAGAAGACGGACCCATCTTGAACATCCCTCAGAAAAGCAAACTGGTGGCACAGACTTGAAAATTACAATGTGTTTAATTGTTTCGGTTGAATTTTTATTTGCTGTCCTTTCTGTGGTGCAGAGCATGACCTGTATATCACAAGCAATCGTGTCTGTTAATGCTGCGAAGATTATATTGATGTGGAAATTATATATAATGAAAAAACAAAACTATACTAAACATAATTCTTCCATTGTGTTCTTACTGAGTCTCGTGTTGTGAACGGGTAAATGTCAGTCATTAGAGGAATGTCATAATGAGAAGTGTTTGCAGAAGGCTCCTAGTCACTTGAGAGTTCTCAGTATGTCACATGCTCTATTGTCATCACATTCTCAACATGTGCTGGTCTTGCAGAATGAGGAACTTCATACACTAGAAATGCAGACAGACAGCAGATGAAATACATGCTCTCTGGATTTAAGACGAATAGAAGAAAACAAAAAGGGAGTAATGAGCAAAATAAACTTGAAGGTAAGGTAACTTTCAGCCTGAGGATGGAATTGTTTATTATTTGCAATCAATAAAAATGGTTTAAGGTTTGCTCTTTTCTTAATGTTGAGGTTTTCCAGATTAGATTGCTAGGAAAGTCAATTATTTGATTATTGCAAAAGCTGGGGTTCAAACTACCACCATATTAAAATATTAAGGAAATAGATCTAACATAACGTGCTGAATATTATAATAATATGATCATCACATAAAAATGCTTATAATAAATATTAATAAAATTAATGTTCCAATGAGAGTTTAAATAGACTATGAGATAAGACTATACCAAATGAACTTACAATAGATCCTTTCAAATGCTTTTCACAGAATGACTGCAAAAATATTAGTGAGTGAGAAAACAGCTCAACTATTAGTAGTAGTAGCAGAAGTAAAACTGATTTAGGTTTAAAGACTGAGGTTTGGAATAGTTTACTAAAAAATGTACATTTGCAGAAAATGTACTCACCCGCCAGCCATCCAAGAGGTAGATGAGTTTGTTTCTTCATCAGATTTGGAGAAATGTAGCATTACATCACTTACCCACCAATGGATCCTCTGCAGTGAATGGGAGTCCAAACTGCTGATAAAAACATCACAATAATCCACAAGTAATCCACACCACTCCATTCCATCAATTCATGTCTTATAAAGCAAAAAAAACGTACGTTTGTAAGAAACAAATTCATCATTAAGGCATTTTAAACCATTGCTTCTGGCTAAAATACTAGTCCATATTCCATAATAAGGTTTATACTTCAAGCTATACGTTTAGAGTTTAACTTTGAATTACTGTCTGTAATCATGTCCACTGCAACCTGAAATGTCCAGGCTCAGTGTAGGTGCAAATTACACTAAAACAACTGTGCAAAAGTATAGACAAATCCCATTTTAAAAACTAAAAAGAATGGGAATATTACTCTCTCACCATCTCAGGATCTCTGTACGAGCATGAGGAGTATGAGGAGTATGTCCAGCATGGCAGCTCTGACTGTCCTGATGTCACTGTGTATCAGAGAGTGTAATCCAATGCCAGATCCCCATCAGAGGGAGCTGATGCTGAAGCAGGACATGTCCCAGCAGGTAGGGGGCAGAGTGGAGCTCACTGCTGCTGAACGGCAACTGGATTCACTCCTGCACCTGCTGAAGCTGAAAGAAATGGCTGCTTCACCTTTCCCACCATCCAAGCACTTCTTCAAAGTCCGGCACATCGTGCAAAAAAGCCCTGTCTTCAAACTGCTACAGAAAATGCCAAAGGGTAAAAAATGGTTACTTGTATAATTGGGAAACACCTGTCCTTCAGATGATAAAATGACTGTGTCTCTTACAGGTGCTGCTCTTCACATCCACAGCTCTGCTATGGTGAGTGTGGATTGGCTGGTGATGAATGCAACGTACAGGCCTCATTGTTACATATGCTTCACGTGGGACGGGTCAGTGCAGTTCCTTTTCTCCACCAATACGCCCTTTCTGCGATGGGGATGCTCTTTTTGGAAACGCCTAGATGTGCTGAGGGCAAGTCTGAGTGACGTCACTGCCTTTGATAACAGGTGATTAAACGTATTTCAACATCAGGCATAAAATAGCTGATATTAAATAGTTGTTCACTGGTACAAACAATGACAGTGGCCATTATAGTGCATTGAAAAGCATTAATTGCTTGCAATTACCACTTGGTTGATGAATGAAGTGTGGCTTTAGTGGCCTTTTGATGTTAAGCCTCACAAAAATACCCTAAATATATTTACTGAATGAAACCCAACACTTGTTTTTAATTATTTTTAAGGTGCCGATTCCAAAAATAGTGCCTGTTTTGCTCTGGCCATCATGCATTTCGTAGCATTTTTGCTTTTGACAATCATTTGTAAAGTGAAGACGTCTTGTATTATCAGTTAATCGTCAGAAAAACTGCCACAAAGACATGATTCATATCTTCCTCTAGGCCAGGTTACAAGTACTTGTTCAATTCTCAGCTGATATGGAAGATTCTAAAGACATTGTTTTATGCCTAATTCTGATATCAAAGTTAGAATTATGGCCAGTGACAAGAAAATGCAAACATGACCCAGATGTTTTCTGCTACATCATTTTACAACATCCAAACGGGGACATACAATTACAGATTTTGTGGGGAAAAAAGCTTATTTTTAAAGTTCTTTGCATTAAATTGAGCATGTGTCTATGTGAACACATTTTCCACTACTTTGCTGATTGAAGTTACATTTGAAACATATCATGTTTGTCTTTGTTTTTTTTACATTTGATAACTGCACCAGATTTTTGAACCGGAAGAACGAAATGAAAAAATAACCACTTTTCCCTTAATAATAGACATAATGAGTGCTATTGTTGTTTTCACCGATGTGCAACCTGTCCATATATTTTAACATCTCCAAAAATGCATTTTAGGGTTTCATGACCCTTTAATGCTGATACATCCATATATAATTAAAAAATATATGAATTCTTATTGTGTTAAAAAAAAACTGAAAGTTGTATTGATGTTTTTGAACTCAGCAAATTAAAATCAAATTAGGTAATATAATGTTTGTTGTTGGTTCCAGAACTAACAAACAGAACTAATTAAACAAATTACATTTCTCAGTTTAATGCGGAATCTTACACTCTTCACGGAAGACCCGGAGATGTCTTATCCGACACAAGATGCAGTATGGGACAGGTTTGAGATGACTTTTATGGCTCTATCTGGGCTGATCACATATGCACCTGTCTTTAAGGACTATATCTACCAGGGTCTGAAGGAGCTTTACGAAGACAACATCATGTACCTGGAGCTGAGGGTCGGACAGTCCAAGGTTTGTGACTGATAGACCACATCACCATAATTAAGTGTATACGTGCTCTTAGATTAAAAATGTGTATTATATAATTATTTTTAGGCATATGAACTTGATGGCACCACCCATGACAGAGCGTGGTCTCTGGAGGTCTACAGAAACATTACTGAGCAGTTCAGAGCAAATCATCCAGATTTCATAGGATCTCGTTTAATCTTCTCTGTCCACAGGTAAAACTACATTAAATTATCTAAATAAATCAATACATTGTCTCTCTTGTCCTGTGAATAAGCTGAATACACATTTAATTTACCACTAATAATAATAATAAAACAATCTTGGGTAAATAACTTTAATTTCTGTTACTAAGGGTCATAACAGTCAGCTTTATGATTAAAATGTTCTTTTTTTACAGCCATTGAAGAATTACAGCCTTTAAACCAAATGACATTTCATACAGTGTTTTTTCCCTTTTAAAGAGCATAAGCCATGTTGGCTTATTTAATAAAGTCACTTTAATGGTTACTGTTTCTAAAAAAAGGAATGACATTTCCACTATCAAAATAAGATTTTTCTTTTTTTTCAATTATGACGCCACTAGACTAACAGGGGTGAAACTTTGGATAATAATGCTTCCTTGAAACATAAACTGGAGATGACAAAAGCAAAGACACATGCCATTAATTACTCCAGAATAAAAACACATTTGTCATTTGAATTAAACAAGATGAATTATATTGTCTGATCTGAATGCATTTTTACACAGGTCTCATAGTGTGTCTCAAGTGAAGCAGGCAGTACAAGAGGCCATTGAAATGCAGAGAAAATATCCAGACATCATTGCTGGTTTCGACCTGGTAATCTCAACAGTTCACAGTGTTGCCAGAATGCAATACTAAATACTAAACATGTTACTGTCTGCATTGTGCAAGCAATCCACAGCAATAACAAAGCCAAAATAACTGAACGATGAGTCAGATAAGTCGATTCTAAAAGGTGACGTGGCACCATAATGCTAAAAAAAAAGAAAGATGTGAAATTATATTACCACATTTAATATCTAATTTGAACAATTTATTGCTGTAGGTAGGTCGTGAAGACACTGGAAGATCAATCTGGTACTTTCGAGATGCCTTATCACGCCCTTCAGAAATAAAGACGCAACTTCCTTTCTTTTTCCATGCTGGAGAGACAGGTCAGTATATGTAGCTCACTTCATTAGTTTTTGGAGAAATTAAACGTTTGAATGCATTGAACCAACTGCTTCACAAAATCTTCATGAAGCACTCAAAACAACATTTGTTGGCCAAAATTATGTAAATGCAACTCAATACAAACATGCATAAAAAACACCTTTTACAAATCAATTGCAAATGTTTTATCAAAAGTGTAACCTATTAAATGCAATTAAGAAAACCCCAAATATAGTGTGACCATATGTCTTTTTTTCCTGGACATGTTCTGGCCGGGATTTCTAAATCGCATAAAATGTCAGGATTTTGCCTTTGTTTTCCTATTGTTTTCATACTTGCTGAAGGTAATGACTGCAAATTAGTTTAACCAATAGCATGCAGGCATTGTAAATAATCGTGCGAGAACTTTAGAGAGCACGGCAACAAAGAAACAAAGACAAACCCAGACATTTTAGGCCATTTTGTCAAAGAGGCCATAACTCACCCATGATATGGTCACCCTAATCAAAACAATTAAATATAAACTCTGTGTATCATGTGTTCTTTTATTAGCTATTAACTAATACTTTCCTTTTTATTATACAAATGTGTCACTGAAAATGTCTACAAATTTATTAAATCTTTTATCATAAACACTAGTTCATGGGTGCTAGAAACCTCTGGTTCGTAACAAATGAAAAGGTTTCGAAGCAGTGTTTTGAAAGCCCCCATCACTACACTCAATTGTTTTACAGTTACAATAACAGCTGCGTTGGATAGATTGGAATTGGCTTGCTGTGGGTGTTTATTTTTAGATTTGGATGGTACAGATGTGGACAGGAATGTGTTAGATGCTCTGCTGTTTAACACCAGCCGCATTGGACATGGTTTTGCGCTGGTTCATCATCCCCTGGCCAAGCAGCTGTCCAGGACGAGAGGAGTGGCAGTGGAGTTGTGTCCCATTTCCAATCAGGTAAGCTGTGGTGCAAAACTAGGGTGACCATAGGTCCTCTTTTTCCCTATTTCTTGGTTGGGATTTCTAAATTGCCTAAAATGTCTGGGTTTTGGCTTTGCCAAATGTCAAGAAGAAAACAAAACCTAAACCCAGACATTTATTTAGAAATCCCGGCCCGGACATGTCAAGGAAAAAGAGGATGTATGTTCACCCTTCAAAGCACACAGGCGACAGTTTGCCTCCCAAATAAAGTCCTAAATGTTATTTTTGGCTTGCTCCACCAGTGTGAATAAAACCAATAATTTGACAGACGTATCTTGAAAAGAACTGTGTCAATAATGTCATTGTGATTGGTTGAATCAACAGTGTTTCGTCTTCTCCAGGTGCTAAACCTAGTTTCGGATTTGCGAAACCATCCCGCCGCGGTACTAATGTCAGACGGTCATCCCATAGTGGTGAGCTCTGATGATCCCACCTTATTCGGGACCACAGGACTCTCTTATGATTTCTACCAGGTCTTTGTGGGTATTGGTGGGTTGAGCGCAAACCTGGGGACTCTAAAGGAGCTTGCAATGAATTCAATCAGGTGCTTAAGATTTATTTATTCACATACTTTTATTTGAAAAAAATTTTCTTTATGTAGAAGAATAATTTAAGGTTGCACTTTTCCCCTTTATTAACAGGTACAGTTCTTTGTCGCCACAACTACAGGCTAAAGCTATTACAATATGGAAGGAAAAGTGGAAAAAATTTGTGGCAGAAAATTCATAACCATGATAAACAGAAGAGGAGAGGACTGCATTTTTTATTATTACTTATCTTTTGGTAACTCAGGGGGTTGAAAATTGTATTATTTGATTGTATTATAGGTTGATAGTCTCTATGAGGTTTGTCCACAGCATTTATAACATAAATTGAGTTTCCTACATTGTATAAGTCCTGAATTACATACTGTTTACTCCAGTGCTGGTTTCTGCACTACTGAATTAAAACTTCATATTAGTTAATGTTAGTAGGACACATTGAACTATTATTTTCTAATCTTCAGAGTCTATACCTGATAATGTTTTCAGAAAGAATTTCTTGACTACAAAAAAAATTATAATAAGTCTCTTATGCTCACCAGGGATGAATTTATGTGATTAAAAATATAGTTTAAACAGTGAAATTGCGGCTTAATATTTTTATGGAAACTGTTATATATTTTTAAAGGATTCTTTGATGAAAATAAAATAAAAAAAAAAAACATTATAAATGTATTTTCTGTCACATTTGATCAATTGAATGCATCCTTGCTGAATAAAATAATTAATTTGTTTAGAAAACAAACTTTTAACTTTTGAACAGTAGAGTGTATATTTTCAGATTTCTTACAACCACTCCATAACCAAGTATATCATCAATGGGTTAAATTGTGGGAAAACAATACCATACCATCCAGACACCATTTGAATGGTATCTCTTTCTCTCCGATACATCGCTGATGTCTATGCCATGCTTCTGTGGGAGAAGACGAGAACAGGTGCACTGGTTGTTTGACTAGTTTTATGATGAGCAAACAGGTGTACAATAAGCAAACACTGACACAGTTCAAACTATATCCCTATCCACATCTAAAATGTTTGGTAGACAAATATCAAGTCAGACTGTTAAAGCATTAAATTGATGTGTCAACAAAAGAAATCATTTTCATGCGTCACTCTTAACACAAAAAATCAACACTGCTAGCACTGTCCTTACATATGTGTCCAATAGATGATAAAAGTGGATTACTTTCATGATACCTGTACTGGAATATGCCAGGTTATATGAACATTTTTCTTGTATTGATCCATCTAAACTTCTGCCACTCTCAGGGCATTTCCCTTCATGACATTGCTAAGATCAGGCATGTAGGGTTTGTGTTCCCTCTCGATGTGAGCAATTTTAGAGTAGGGTACAATCTCTAAACTTCCTCCACACAGCCACACCTGAGCCAAAACATGTGAAGGAAAAATTTAACACAGTTTACCATAGCTACTATGTAAATATATGATAATATTTAGGAGAATGATCAACACGTTTGTGAATTACCCGTATTCCTAATTCAACATTCTCTCCTCCGTACACCTCCATCCCTCCATCCAGAGTCCCAATCTCATGCACCAGAGAGCTCAGCCATAACCATAAATTTGCTTAGAATCTTTAATTCTGCTATACCAACAAAGACATTAACAGATTTCTGTTGGTGTATCCATTTAAAAATTAGTTGTCTATAATCACTTTAAATTACATTGATATAAACCTATAGTTGCTTCAATATGGTGCTAAATAATAGTGATATTAATATATATTATTATAAACAATATTGTGCATGTACATGTAAAACTGTGCATTCATTCAAAAAAGTTGCACTCAGTACTTTTGAAAAATGTTTTTTTAAAAGAGGTTTATATATATATATATATATATATATAATATATACACATACACACACAAACACACACATTTAAACGGAAGCCCAGTCATATTAACAGTGTTTCCTCAGGGGGGCAGACAGATGAAAACTACTCTCTTTATCTCAGTAATCCTCCTGCTATCTGGCCGTTGATTAAAAATCACTGACTGCAAACAGAGTGCTAAACAACTGCATTTATTTTATTAAAAAGGTCAAAAGGCCATATATATTGATTTCATGCCAACTTTAAAGAGTGCTTCGAGAGTTACGTAAAACAACAGCTAAACAGAAGTAATTAAACAGATACTAGTAACTCACCCACTGCTATTAAATGAGCCTCCAGTTTGTCCAGTTTGTTGATCAGAAGTGCGCTGTGTAATGAGAAGTTCTGTTGGATTCAGTGGAGCTATTTGTCTTGCGTTTGGATTTTCCTTCTCAACAAGCTCATACAGAGAAACACCACAGTGACAGACAAGACTGGAAACAAAGTCTTCACACAGCTTATTCTCATGATGATCAGCAAATATCACAGTTCTGAAATATTTTGAAAGATTTTCTAGATGTTTTCTTTCTTCAGATATCAGTTATTCTGTGAGGCTGTCACTGGTCCATGCTTTGGTTACAGCTCTGTGACTGTAATGTTTGCTGTCTGATCTTAACTTTCTTTATCTTGATCTTTATCAATCATGCTAGACTGAAAGGGAGGAAACAGGACACTGAATCCTGGTAGTGGTGGTGGAGTTAAACATTAAATACAACTATTTACTTTTAAAAATATCAATCATATCATTTAGGATATCATTCAGTAAAAGGAACCAGGCAGGCACCACACTACATCAACACTTAATAAATATAAACAAAAACAAGTCTAGAACTATAAAAACGATAAATTAGATATAAACTTGCTAAAATATAATTATACATTTTAAAATGTATTTTTTTCATGTCATGTGTTATTTATTAACTTTAATTTAATTTGACATTAATTTAATTATTACAGGTGACACTTACCAATAATTACTGTATGTAATAAAAATGATTTTTTTTAAATTGAAAAGGACCCAAATAAAGTTGACCAAACTATGAAAAGTCAAATATTTTACAGTGCAAAACTACAATGCACACTGTATTTATCAGTGAGACTATCAATGTGAGAACGTTCACAAAGAGTTTTATGGTTTTGAGTATTTACAATAACCTGCAGCACTGAAAAGAGATAACATTATTGAGAGTATTGTAAAATTGTTAATTTATAAAGAAACACTCTGGTTGTGCAAATAAATCATGCTTCCTGCAATTTACACCTGTCATTTTTTTTTTATTAAATAGGACCCAAATAAGTCGGCGCCAATAGCCTTATGGTTAGTGCATCGATATATAGCGCAACTGCGCTCACGGCTAAACAAGTTCGATTCCCATCTTGAGGTCCTTTGCCAATCCCCCTCATCCTAGTACTTTCCTGTCATGTCTCTACTGTCCTATCTCAACAAAATGAATAAACGCCCATAAAAAAAATAGGACCCAAATAAAGTTACCCAAACTGGGAAAAGTCCAACATATTTTAAAATGCAAAACTTCAATGCAGATCATAAATCTAATGAAGACCCAAAACAAACAAACATTTCAAACCGAGGTCTCTACCAAACCTGACAGAATCAATACCTCAAGACTTCTAGAGCTGGCCTTGAACATCCAGATTTTGAGCTCCCTGTCCAGATGCATTTGGTCACTGAGGAAGGTATTATAGCCATATTTCTGAAAGAGATCCTGAGCCTTCCTCCATTGCTTGAAGAGATTTGAGTTTGGGAACAGCTTCTTAGCTGGCTTCCTCTCATTTCTCACTTTGGGGCTTCTCCCTTCTGCAAGAATTTGTTCACCAAGTATTCAAAGTTTAAAACAACACTGCAGCAAAACTTATATCAGTAATTCACCCACTGCTATTAAATGAGCCTCCAGTTTGTCCAGCTTGAGCAGAAGAACGCTGTGTAACGAGAAGTTCAGCTGGACTTGGTAGAGCTGCTTCTCTTGCATTTAAAAATCAAGGTTTTTACAGAATAACCACTTAAACTTTGAGCTTCATCACACTTAGCCATCATATGGTTTTAGAAGTCCCAGAAAACAACAGTCTGGACATTCCACTAAATAGCTCCTTTTGTGTGAGGATGAGTAAATGATGAAAGAATCATTTTTGGTTGAACTATTGCTTTAATATACATTGACATTCTGTGACAACATGCCCCATCCTCATTCACTGTGGCTTTTAATTACTCAAGTTTTGTTTGTAGTAGAGTAATCGCATATGCTTACATAAAACTGTACTTCTAAAAAACTGAAACTGACACTTATTTCCCTGCGTAGTATGTTGAAAAGGGGGTTTATAATTGATTTAATTAAGTACACTGTAAAAAAAACTGTTATGTACACATTATGTAGACTACAAATGTGTAGGCTAATATATGTTCTCTTGCTCTTTATCAGGGGTTCCCAAATTTTTTGTCAGCCGAACCCCTTAGATGTAACATTTACTTCAAGTATCCACTGATATTTTCACCATTCTCTGATGCCGGTTAATGGTCACATGACATGCAAGTTAAATGTTTTATATTTGATTCAATTTTAACTGCAATAAGACATTATTATTATTCTCTTAATCCTCTTTGACTATAAATTTTATTTTTACTTTCATCAGCCATATAATATTTGTGTTATTTTTTAGCACCTAATATTTTTCAGTTCATAGCTTCATTCACATTTTTACCACTAACTCTTTCTGTGATGTTTCTCTAAGGATGCCATGTTCATATAAATGGATTACATATTGCATTTCATAAGTTCTGAATTACATTCTGTATCTTCCAGTGTTGGTTTCTGCAGTCCTGAAGAAAAATGCTCTTTTCATACTTTCCTGTCTGATCAGCGCTGATCTCCAGACAGCGTTTGGTTTCTCTGTTCTGTATGGCCTGTCCCTGAAAACAAACAAGAATATGATTTTTTTCCAAGCAATGTTTAGATTGTAATATACCACAGTATCCTATCAATGTTTGGGGTGTAATTATTTGCTCACCTGTTTGAAGTCCCAGTACATGTGTTTTGGTTTTTCAGTGTCTGAACACCAGGACAGCTCTGGAAACTTGCCTGAGCCGGGATCAATTAGACAGCGGTTCTTATTGTTTTTAAGGGACTGAAGGGGATGTGCAAATATCTCACCTCGTGCCGTATGATAAAATATCTGTGTGATGAGAAACTGAAGTGTGTCAAATATTCCCCAAATACAGAGTTTAAAAATGCAAGGAAAGGAAAGGAAGGGATGGGATGGGAAGGGAAGGGAAGGGAAGAGAAGAGAAGAGAAGAGAAGAGAAGAGAAGAGAAGAGAAGAGAAGAGAAGAGAAGAGAAGAGAAGAGAAGAGAAGAGAAGAGAAGAGAAGAGAAGAGAAGAGGTTACCTGAGATCCCATGAAATGACATGGATATAAAATGGGAGTGTTCTCCTCAAGTGGCCCCTTATCCAAACATAAACTTGTTTGCAGATCATTAATCAGCTGTTTTGACAGAAATAAGGACATCATATTCAATTGTCAAACCCTTCATAATTTTTC